TAACTATGACCATAATATATAGCATTACACATGTCTTAAGTGGCTTTAAGAATAATATATTGTTATTGTTAACGGGACTACGAAAGACCATATTTAATAATCGTGAAATGCCATAGCATAAAATCATTAACGGAATCAAAAGACTTGTTCCAATAGTACCTTACATATTTTCAAATTAAATTACTATGTATGTTATTATAAGAATTACATTTAAAGTTGTTAATTTTGTTATATTATTTTGAACCATTAAAAATTAAGCAAATTTTCAATAAGATATGAAATAAAATCCTTCAAATATTCCCCATCTTTTAAAATTAGGTGTTGTATCATCTTAAGTAGTTTTCCTATATAATAATTAACAAAACTGCTTTTAAAATTAATGTGAATATTCTAAATAATTTTTCCGAGTGCAAAACATCAAGACAGACACACAAAGTGAATGTGCAGATCAGGATGAAGGGTGTAGGACAAACCGCAAGCGGACGAATCGTCGTTTATTATTGGAGCAATCGCCGTAGCCGTTCTCATGGATGTGACTGTGGCGACGGGCGTAGCTGAGGACGAATGTGGAGCTGGAGGACGACGATGAGGGGGCCGAGCTGCATCTGGGACAGACAAAACAAATGACAAATGACACAAAGACAATGCAGCCTGGCCCCAGCTAAGGGGGAGAGAGCATGTTGCCTCCAAGCTTAAATGTTCAATATTATTTATAGGGGGCAACAATCTAAACCCAAACCCAAGCCCGCGATACAAGACAAAACTAGAACAATGGCTCCGGATTAGCTCCAAGACTTTGCGTGTCAATGCTAAGCCCTCGACGAGTTCTCGGAATTGCCCTTCGACAACTTAATGCCGATGGCAAGTCGTTCCAGCCAACTTCAGCTAATTACTCACAGGGGAGGGGAACACCCGAGGAGTTCCACAGTGCGGAGCAGATGAAAGGAGTGTGCGGTCAACGAACGACGGACAAAGAAAGATGCAAAACTCAATCAGCCAAGAACGATGTGAGCTAAATATTGGGTTGCTGTATGCTATAGTTAAGGTTGGAATACCCTATAAAATGTATAATAGAAAAAACTGTTTTACATTATGTTTATTTTTAAATAAATTTATTTGGTCTTAATATTTCTAGCCTACTACTAAACATAGGTCTTAACCTGAGGATAACATTGATATTTATTTTTAAAAGCTTCCCCAAAATGCTTCCTTTATAATGCCAATATTTTCCCAGCTTTTATATCTCATAAAAAACATGAACAGCTCAATATTTTCTTTATAGAAATTACAGTACTAAAAACGACAAGAAAAAGTATGAGAAATTTGGGAAAACATTTGTTTTCTAGTACACCTCATCATCAGCCCAAAACTGTCAAGACAAGCTATAAAGAAAAACGTGGGAAAAAACACCAACGAAAGTCAAATGAAAGCGAAAAACCTTTTTCGTAAATTTCCGTTTATGTCCATTTTCCTCAAATAGAAATGCGAGAGCCATCAAAGGTCCTCTAATAATAATGAAAGAACAAACTATTTTCATAAATTTCCATTACCTACACCAAGAGAATGCCATGGCTGCACTTTCATCAGGCCAAAAAAAGAGCGTTCAATAAAAATCCAGCGAGGGCAAATCATTGAGGGACTCGTTGGCCCCCGCTTAATCAGTCTGCTGGGAGCTGTTATGGCTGCCTGGGATGGCTGTCAGCCGCTCGGTTACCCGCACTCATACCGATTCCCGTTGGTAGTTTCAATTTCGTCGCTTTTATTCTGCACATTCCGGGGGATTGGAGCGCTCGTCGCCAGTGCAGCAATGCATATAAATGACGTAGCAATTTGGAAGCCGTTTGTTATGCGAAGCTTTGCTTTGTTGCTCCACAATTAGAATCGCCAACTGGGGGGCACTCAACTTAAAGGCGTCTACATGGCCTCAAATGGAACACTTTGGCGAATGATATTTCAGACAAAAGACAAGTTGCTTTAGTAAATTTCATCTCCTGAAATCTTGGAAACTATTTATTAGATTATTTGGAACGTAGTAAGTAGTTTGGGACACATGGAACTGCTCCTATACTTATACGCTAACTCTAAGCAACTAGGAACTAAATCGGGGAAAATTCTGTAAGTTTTGGCCACGTGAGATTTGGTGTGTGTGGTTCAGCATAGGAGAAGATATCCCCTTGATCAGATGGCGGCCGCCTGTCTACGATTCCAGCGCCACACAGTGGCGTCATCGCACACGTAGACCAGGACGCTGGCGTCGCGGGAGAAGGCGATCTGTCGCACAGTGGATACGCTGCGCGTATTACTCAGTGTGGTCATGACCGCACCCTCCGGGTCGCTGGGATCCAGCTCCCACACATACACCTTGCCCTGCTGGTTGCCCAGGGCAATTACCTTTTGCCAGGGATTGAACCCGAAGCGCACAAACCAAATCTCACATTCGTCGTACTCGAACTCCGCGATGATTGTGCAGGAGGAATCGCTCGGCTTTACCTGTTCGAAGCTCTGGTGGAGTTGCCCGGGTTTCCAGCAAACGATGGCATTCTCGCAGGACTTGGAGAGCACAAAGTTGCCGAACCACTGGACGCAGTCCACATAATTCCTATGTATGTCCCTCGTGGAGAAGTCGGGAAAGTGCTTGGTCACCGTGGGAAAGGGCAAGGTGGACTTCTCCTGGCTGAAGGTATTCGATAGCTCGATCTTGTGGTGGAATTCGGGTGTATTCAGGCACCACAGCTTCAGCGAGTGATCCATGCCGCTGGATACAATGCGATCGCCTCGCATATTGAAGTCTATGGACAGCACTTCGTCGCGATGTCCCTCCACGCCGCCCAAGATGGCAATGCAGACGTGACTTTGAATGTTCCACAACCTGATGGCATGATCCTTGCTGCCCGAGAGCAACAGCTGCAGCTTGTGCGGATGGAACTTGAGCTCATTGATGGCCTGGCCGTGGCCAATGTAGTTTCCCACCGCCTCGTTTTGTTCAATGTCAATCACTCGGATGACGCCGCGGTAGCCAGCCGCAGCCAATAGAGGGGCTGAGGTCTTAAGGTCGTAGGACCAGGCGCATGTGTAAAATACCTCATCGGGCTGGGAAGCAGAGTCGGAATATGTTAACTTAAGCCATGATAAAGCGCCTTCCAAAGGCTAACTCACATCCGGATCGGCGTAGCAGTGGAGCAGCTGCATTCCGCCCTGCCGCGGGCACTCGTACACCGTCACCCGGTTGCTGCCGGCGGTGGCAAACACCTGCGGCTCCTCCTTGCCCAGCAGCGTGTTGAAGGCGACGCCAAAGATATTGGCTCCATGGTTCTCCTTCACAAAAGTGCTTCGATGGAAGGGAAATCAGTTGCTTGCTCCTCAATGCTCTCTGTTTTTCGCAACTTACTCGTATTTGTAGGCGGCGCGGCTCTTTGGCTTGGATTTGGTGCTGCGGCGACCACGCCGTTTGCTCCGCGTGCTGGACGAGGGCGACTTGCTGCGCGACGTGGTGCTGTTGGTGGTATAGCTGGCCGATTCGTCCTGCGTTGTTGTCCCAGCGAAAAGATCATTAATTCCACTTTTTCCAGCTCCATTTGTCATTCGGTTTTTGTTTGTTACTTACGCCGCATGAGTCGTCGGAGTCCTCGGCTTCGTTGTTGCCGTTTTTCACTTTGTCACTGTTCATTTTGTAGGCCGCGCACGTTCACAGCGTTAGCTAGCGTTTAAATTGCGACACCGAAACGGCAATTAACTAGGTTTAATTATTAGTTTTGCTGCTCAAAACAATAATAATAATAATAGCAATTCCGCGGGAAAAATGGAATAAGTTATCGGGTTGAGCACTCACGATACTATCGATATATCGAATATTTGGTCTTGCCACTATCGAGTATAAGGTCTCAATCAATTTATCGGTAATATTAAGGTGTTTTTATAAATATAGATATATATATTTTTTATTATATTTTTCAAAACATCGAAAATATCGAAGGTGATGATGTTTTCCCACCTCTAATCTGTATCAGCTGTTTATTTTCAGTTTCGATCTTGATAAATCGATAGCACAGAAGCGCGCGAAATTTAAAACTTTCAAAATGACAAGACACATGCGCAAGCTAGTTTTTAGGAAAACAGAAACGAAATAACTTGTAGGACAAGAACATGCCATGGATTTGTGTGTGTTAGACAAACTTCAAAACATTTATGTACAAAAATTACACTGCTGAGACGAATTATTAAGCGATTTTGTTCATATTTTTATATTTTTGTCACAAGAGTACAAGTTTTGAGCATTAACTAAGTGAAAATTAGAAGTTTTTTATTATCAAAGTATAGTTCAAAGTCGCAAAAAAAATGTATTTAATTTTTATTTATTACAAGGTTTAATTAAATTTGTTGAATGGGAAAAACTATAGCCATTTAGCATATTTGTCTAGTTTTGCTTAATTTTGATATTTTAAAACTATATTTCATCAATAAACTAGTGGCAAAAAACGAACACTTTAAATAATATATTTATTTTCCTTGAAGATAAACATATTTTATCAATATTTGCCTAATGTTTTAATATTTTACTGCAAATGTTTCTGTACAAAAGACGCGGCAAGGAACATTTACAAGGAGGCGCAGGTGGAAAACAAAACAAGTGTTATTTTATTTTATTTTTTATTTTGTTTTTTGCGACTATTAAAAGAAAGGTATTTACAACAGAAGCGAGCAAGAGTTGTTGGGGGTGAAAAAGGGGACAGAGGCTAGACAGAAGATTACAGCAGAGGAAATCGGTAGCCACAGGTCGGCAGACAGACAGAGATAGAGTTGGATAGAGAATAGAGATAGAGGAGACAGAGTTTAGAGAGTTATTGTAGAACGTAGATAGTATATGGTAAGTTCATTCTGGAGCTGTGTTGGTTAACGCAAAACGTCAAATCAAAATCGCAAAAATTGCAAATCGCAAAACGAACAAACTGAAGAGGCAGATAACGGATAAACTGTTAGCTTAGAAATCAAATTTCAAGTACGTTTTGTTCGTCGACATGGACCTGGCCCAGGTGGGTGTCCGCAGGCGTCGTTGCCGATGCACGGTCGCTGGATTACCACTGCTACTGCTACCGCCACTGGTTACACTTTCCGCCGCCTTGGCACTGGGATCTGTGGTTGCTGCTGCTGCGGATGGTGTTGCGGATGCTGAGGCGGAGGTGGGCGCAGGAGATGCCCCTTTTGATGAATTCTCCTCCAGCACGGATTCCCTAACGGTCTCCAAAGCTGGCTGCAATTTGGGGGCTGCGGGAGCGGTGCTGGCACTGGGATCCGACGACGGGGACGTGGTTGCCGGAGGCCCTGTGGGTCCGCTGTGCGTCTGTGGTGCTTGGGACACGCCCTTTGTGCGTCCCTCTATGCTAGCCTGATTGTCGCCCGTCGTGGCCTCAGCTCCAACAGGTGCCACCTCCCCCTTCTGCTCTTCCTCCACTTTCTTTAGGCTACAGCTGCTGTTGGAGTTGTTGTTGTCCTGCTGCTGGTCAGGATCTCGACCGTGACTATGGCGACTGCAGCTTAGGTTCTTGCAATCCCCATTGCAGCCCTCTCTGCAGGATGTTCAAAATGAATTCCAGGTGAATCCCAGGCAGGCGGCCAAGTGTTCCGTCGCCCAGCAGTTGGCAGTGAGTAACAGCGAACCAGTGCAAGGGGGCAATTGTTAGATTACGATGTTGTTGCATTGCATTCGGTTGGTATGTGTGTGTTTGTGAATTTTGTATTTATTTTTATTGGTTTGTTTTTAGATAAATAGTTTTTGTCAATAGAAAGAAAAAATATATAAATAGAACATCAGTTGAGAGATTGTGGTAAAGCTTTAAAGTTTAGTAGGGGGTAAGAGGGTCGGCTATATTGTTCCCAAAGAAGCTGGCTAAAAATACCTACTAAAACAACATGAAATTCGCTCTACAAACGAATGGAAATTAGTAACGTTTCTTTAATTTTAATTACTATTTTCTCTTAATAATCACGGTCTTTAAAAATCTTATATTTTCAAATTTGTAGGGCGAACTTCAAATGGCATGAGACAAAGTTTTCCTGATTTTACAGCATCGTAATGGCAAGCCAAGTTAACTCGGCAACTTTGTGTGTTGTTACCACAAAAAACAGGAACGAAATAAATGGCTAAAAAGGGGGAAGCAGACTTTGTTTTTCAAACTCAACCTCACTTGACTATGCAAATCGAAGAATCGTGTCGTGTGTGCTTGTTTTGGGTAGGAAATGGTTAATAAATTATATGGCACGGAGTACACTTGAAAACAATGGATATCGCATACCACCGTTCCATTCATATGCAGATGACATTCGGGAGTTGATCGGGATCGGAGTGGTGGGGGTTAAGGGAATTATTGAATGTGTGGTAAATAATAAAAATGCATAGATGTTTTTGTATAGATCCCTCTCTCTGGCGGCCGAAAAGCAAAACCAAAATCGGGTATGCGAAATGCAAAGCTTTTGTGATAAATTCACATAATATTTTTTTTACTTTGGGAATAAAATTTCAATCTATATTGTTATACAAATTTGTTAAAACTAGAAAAAAACCAACAAGGTTTTTTTATACGGAAAGAAGGAGTAATTCGAAAGTGTTATTAAAGAAGCCTAAAAGACTGCCAAATTATATTTGTATTGTTTTCTTGGCATACTTTTAGGCAGCTTAAATACATATTTTAAATCCTTTTAAATTCTATTCCTTATTTATTTCCTTACAAAAATTCTGTAATAATCTTAAACTAACCAAAATAACTTTGCACTTCTATTCTCAAAAACAAAGACCCTTTTACTAAAAATATTCCAACATTTTCTGCGAACCACAAACACTTGAAGTTTCATAGCGAGAAGCTTGAGGGACACGAAGTTAGAGCAGGAGAGGAAAAGTACGGAATTAGTTTCAGAAGATACACAGAGAATTCCATCTGGCGAATCAAAGAACGAACGAACGGAGTTGAAAATATGCAGATACACCGAGAGAAATGGCGAGCACAAAAGTAAGACACCGAGACTTGTAGGCAGAGGAGAGAGAAGAGGTAAAGTGAGTTAGAGACAGAGATTACTTCAATAAATTACGGTGCGGCGATTCGTTAGGGGACGGTGTGTGTTTTTATTGGGGTCTTAACCATAGCTTAGTAACTCTCGGGATCCAAAGTAGATAAGTACACAGTTATACCTTGCGTTAGGCTAGGCTAAAACTAAGAAATACGCGATCTCTGCAAACGTTAAATGATAATGATATATGATATAGAAGTCTGGAAAGATACAATGGATGATGGCTAGAGTTTCTGTTTTACTGGCAGAGCAAGGCAAAGTATAGATCTCGATTCTTGAAATACATGAACTGAAGAGAGCACTACAAAGAATGAGGATAGAAATAGTTGGTAACAGAGTTAGAAAGTTAGAAGAAGAAAGAGGTGAGAGAGGTGGGTAGTAGTAGGAGTAAAGTAATCGTGGTTGGATGGGCTGGTTATCGGGATAGATGTATTCGCGATTTTGGATATGGTCTTATTTTAAAAGAGAGATGTTATAGAGTTAAAATCAACAGAGTTAACGACAAAACCAAAGCGACAAGTTTGACACGATGGGAAAACTTACTCTTCGCTCTCAACGGATGAGGACGCAATCTGCCCCAACCTTGTTTTACCTGAAGTGGGGCTTCTGATCAACAACACACAACACACATTGTAACAGAAACGGATATAAAAAGAAAAATATTCAGATATTTGTATACACGGAAAGAAATCAGTCTTAGAAGTATGTTATGATCAGTTGAATGGGTGAATGGTTTTCGATTTTTCGCAACTACGCAGCAATTAGTCGAATGGATCCTACTCTAAATATGTTATAAAGCCTAAACCAATTCGATGTGGAGCCCCAAGGAAGCCCGAAGCTGAAGCAAAGTTGTCCAGAGATCGGTTCGAGTCGGTTCGCTCTCCTCTTGGTTAGACGGAGCCAAGAAGCTTGCAAGATTTTTGATTTTTCGGGGACAGTTCAGGGGGAAGTCAATCTACTTTTGCCTACCTTGATTCGTCAATAAAGACGGCCTCGAGTACACGAGCCGCATAGTGCAGATTGCGTTGCATGTCCTCGTAGGCAACGGTCTCGTGATCCATGCGTCGGAGAAGACTGCGTATTCTGTGGAAATTTTAATAAATATATTATTTTAAAGTAATTGATTAATTTAATTTGCCAAGAGAACTCACCTCAAGGACGCTTTGTTAAGGGCGTCTGGCGTATCGACTGGCGGCAGACTCTCCGTTTCCCATTGCCCGGCATTAAACGATAGATTCGAGGTTGTTTCGTACGATTGCTGCGACGTGGTCGGAATGTCGGTATCCCCGCGGAGGAACGAACCGGTGGTCAAGGCATTAAGCGAGTGGGTGGCGGTGTGGTCCGCGGATTCGCTTTGCGAGAGATTGGCCGACGAGTTCTGAAGGTTGTCGGCCGCATAGTTGGTGGAATTCGGCGATGACGGCTGCATCTTGGCGGCGGCGGCTGTGGTGGCGGATGCTCCCGTGCTGGAACCCTGATTGCTCGATCGACTATCGCCGGCGGACGCTGGTCCGTTGCTACCGGCGCGGAAGCTCAAACGCTCCGCGAGTGGTTCACTGAGCGGCGTCTGGGCGAAGCTGATGCCCGGGTTCACGGTGCCGGAGGCGGTGGCTGCTGAGGGTGATGCCAGTTGCTGGCCGTCGTTCTGGTTGAAATTCCGGCTATTTGTGCGTCGGATAATCGTCAGTGATCCGTGTCCTGCAAAAAGGCCGGAGAGCAAAGCAGAAGGGGAAGCTCGTTTAGTTTTCGGCTGCTTATTTAGTTTCTTAACTCTCACTATTGACACATTGATTACGGCCCTACTGGGATCTAACGAAGCATAGTTCGCAAAGGAAAGGGTTTGGAAAGGTACAGTGGGTTCGGGGGGGCTATAAGGGATGGCAAAAATATGAATAAATAAATAAGAAGTCCTTTATTGATGAAAATAAAAATATAAGAACATATGCAACTGTTCATTACTTAACAAATCAACAAATTCAACAAAATAAATTAAATTAATATGTCACAAGTAAACGTTGTTTGGGAATCAAATTTATGCAACTAAAACAAATTCAAATAATAAATATTGAAAATAATTGAATTGCTTATTCATTTAAGAACTTATTACTTAATAAAACATAAATCAAAATTGTTTTTCTTGTACGATTTAAGTTCCACAGTTTACTTTCTCCTCTAGACGAAAATCTTTTGATAGAATCGACAAGAAATCAATAATTTATTCGCATCATTTAAGGCCATTGTGGCGCACAATTCTTTATTTAGTTTAACCCCAAGTGAAGGGAAAAATGCTTAACGAGCAGCAAAGAAAACCCTTGGAGAAGTTCCTTCCCTCGCAATTGCTGAGTGGCTTCGTCTCAGGACTAAGTTGGCCCTAAGCTGTCTTGGCGGGGCGTGTCGAAAAAGTGCAAAGGATTTATCTCTATGTGTGTTTGTCACGAGTGGCAAGAAGGAGGCGTCGGAGATTTGGCACTCGAAGCCATCTATTTGGTGGAGTTCCTCCTACTCCGGGAGAGAATCTTAACTGCATTTCATTTATTTTGGAAGTGCAAGTACCTACAGACGCGTGGGGGAGGTGGCAAGGTGATGGGGTAGTCATAAAATCCGCTTTATGCTGCACTTAAATTTATGTTACACCCGAGATTCCTTTGGTTAACTGCTAGATACGCGGGCTCTTTATCGACTCGGGTTTCGGGATGAAATGTTTTATGCTCCTTTTACTGGCGACTCTTCATGTCCTTAATGACTTGCCACGCTTCATTTTACCCCACAATGTTTTTTTTCTTTATAGGGAAAAGTACGCGGAAAATGCTTTGCTGGCTCCACCTGACATCAGCTTACGGCTAATCGCGATTCCGGGTGTCTTGACCCATGTGGATAATGGAAACTGTTGGCAATTAAATGGCCTTATGGCCGGATAAAATGCGTTTCGCAACTGGTAATATGATCGATAGTCTTGTCTGCCATCAATCTTGTTTCAAAAGCTTGAGTAGTCGTCAAAAGGGGGTTTTCTTTGCTTATGCACTTAGTTATCACAATTAAATAGTTAATCACTTTATTTTATTTATTTTCAGTTTTTTTTTGTACCAGAATTTTATCGGGGAAATTGCTGAAATCGTAAACTAATTCGTTTAGTGGTTCACCTTTTTCTACCGCGAAAAACTGCACTTGATTGTTTTAATTTGTAAACAAAAATAAATGTCATTTGTCCAGTCTTGCAGCAAAAAGTTAATCTAATCTAACTTAATTTATCTCACATATGGATTGGAATTCCACAATCATGTTGTTAGTCATAGAGATATGTGGGTATTACATGTAATCTTTATTGAGTTAAGCTAAAATGATTTATTTGTCAGCAAGATTAAAAAACTCGCTAATGTGGTTTGTATATTTAAAAAATAAACTATGTTTTTGGTCTGTAACATATTTTAAATGATTTTGTCATTTCAATTAGCCTCAATCTCCCAGGAATGCTATCCTTTCTAAATTTCCGCCATTTCCGAGGGATGTCAAACGGACTTAGTCACCGCAATCTGCACAGCTGGTGCAGGATGGATTATGGCGGTGTCCTGTCCGCTGCATAAAATGGAAATTATAATGCCACCCCGGCTCAGATGATGAAATATGCAAAAATAATACACGCAACAGGGGAGGAGAGAGAGGGAGGCAAGGATGCAAGGCTGCTCGTTACTTACTTGCCACTTGACCATTTATTGTCGCATTCGGCCCACTGCTGCCACTGAGCTCAGCAACTGTGGGACTGGCGGCCTCTTGGCCCGGCGTGCTAATGCCACCTGCTCCTCCGGCTCCGGTTCCAGATCCACAACCAGATCCAGCTAGTCCACTGGCTGCACCGCTCGCTGCACCACTGCTGCTGTTGCCCGATGCCGCACCACTGCTACCGCCGGTGGCGCCCGCACCAACGCTGGCCTCGTCCCGCTTGCTGGGCAAACTCTCTGGCGTGCTGGCAACTGAAAGATGAGATACAAAACGTGCTTAGTTCGACGGATTTACTCTGGCAAAAGGTGTGAAAGAAATCTGTCGGATATTTCCGAGAACTTGTGGATTTATTGTGTTTACTTTAAGAGAAAATATTGCAGTTTATTGTGCTTTGCACATGGACTATGTCCATAGGTAATTTAAAGTCCCCTAAAATTTAAGCAGAATTTAAAGATAATTTTCCAGAGTACTTTTTTCCCTCTGACTGCTCCAACAGGTTTCCCTTTGCCAATCAGTATTCAAACTATCTGTGCTTGTGTACACATCTATGCGAGTCCCAAATCCTTTTGTTGTCTTTCACTTGCTGGGAATCCTCCCTTTCTAATGCTGTTGGGCTTAGCCAAAGTGTATTTGTGTTGTGTATTTTGTTTACTTCTTGATCCAAAGGGTAGAAACACTTTTTTGCCACTTTTGGCTATGGAAGAGAGAAATATTTTAATCTTAGATAAACTGCGAGGAGCATACTTTTGGGTAAAGAGAAAATTTAAGGAATTAAGCATAAACTTTTACATTTATGATTGCCTTAAACATAATAAATTGTAGTAATCTATATACTCAAGTTTGTGTAATTTTTTTAAGGAAAGAGCATTGTTCCATCAATTTCCGCGAGTCTGCAAAAATGTTCCTTGCCTTTAAGCTTTTCTTATGCTTTATCTTGTATTATCCTTTGGCCTGGCTTAGGCAGCTCCTTTGGCACTACCAGATTAGATGGAAATTGCTTTTTGTGCGCAGAAAAGGATTTTATTAGGCCAAGCTAATACGTTTTTTTTGTGTGTTTTGTTTTGTGCAGTTCCGAAGGGCAACAGCTGCTGCGTGCCACCGTCAAAACTAGGGGCGCAATAAATGTTTATTTATGTATAGAAAGATTTCACATGCTGCTTAGTTTATTTAGCATATAGCGTATACGCCACGTAGCCAACTAGCAACATACATATGCATATATATTTATTAATAATACTGTAAGCAACTAACAAATAAAGTATTTATTTATTTTATTTTTAACAAAACAATGCCAAGAAAAAAAGGGAAATACTAAAAGGCTCATCACTTTTGTTTGACTGTAAAATAAAATATATTTTTCAGTGGCTGAGCTAATGCGAATTTTAGCAACAATAGTCTTAGTTGAGGTTTTAAACTACGTTTTATCATTTCTAATGTTTACTTTCGTCAACTAACTGCGGCTTTCTAAGTTTTCCAAGCTTTGGCTTTGGCCTTATCTATAAATGAGTGGCTATTTGGAGGAGAAACGTCAGTCTTGTCTAACCAGTTGCCGTTACCCAACGTTCACTTATAGTCATGCGTTTCTTCGCTCTGATCGCCCTGTGCCTGGTCGCTCTTTTGGCCCTGACTGCTGCCGAATCATCAGTCTGTGCCTGTCCCCGTAATTACCAGCCCCTCTGCGGATCCGATGGCAAGAATTACTCCAACCAGTGTGACCTGAACTGCGCCGCTAAAGAAAAAGGACGTACTATAACTGTGGCCAAGAAGGGACATTGCTAAGAGGGAGACTTATAAACCAAATTGTATTGAAGGACCTAAGAATTGAGAAAAATAATTACTTGCCAGCTTTAAAATTTCATTGTTATATTTATGGGAAGGTTTTAGAGACGAAATTATCGTTTCTGTTTAGCTTAATATTTGAGAAGGGAGGCTTGTATACTTTAGTTTAAATGTGATTTATCGTCGTTGCACTTCTCTATTAAAATTTAAATTTGTAAAAATATTCTCCAAAATATTTAGTCTCATCTATTTAAATTATTTAATATGTACATTAAAAAAAAACCAAACCTTCCACATTTGGTATAACATTGTTTAAGATGTTGTGAGTTGTCACAAGTAACTTATTAGATTTAAATCGACGAGTTGTTTTTATTATTTGTTGCATTTAATACACAAATATTGTTATACAGACAGCTTTTTCACAACTTTCTGAAGCAAATAAAAATAAGAATATTCTAAAAGCTGCACCTAGGTTGGGGCTTATCTATAAATGTAGTGAGATCAGGGTCGCAAGCGTCAGTCTCCCCGAACCAGTTGTATTGATCGAACATTTAGTTTTCTAAATCTCGTCATAGTCTCAGTATCTGTATATTACAGTCATGCGTTGCATCGTAATTATTGCTCTGTTGTTGTTACTGACTCTGAGTGCCATCGGGAATGCGCAAAGATTGTGCGCATGTCCTTTCAACTATGCTCCTGTTTGCGGATCGGATGGAAAAACCTACGGCAATGAGTGCGCTTTGCGGTGTTCCCCGGGTTCAGTTACGGTGGCAAGGGGAGGACCGTGCTAGGTCTGGAAAGTAACATTTGCCCTACCTGACAGACTTATTGTTTAATGTACAAAATAAATACATATTTGTCAGTTTGGAACCAAGTTGTTTTATTTTTAAATATATTATTGCTTGTGAATACATTTTGAAGGAAAAGGTAATCTCAGATGGAGAACTGAAACTGAATGCTCAGAATTGATTTATTTTTATTGTTTAGATTTGGCTCACTCTGGAGAGTGCAAGGGCTTATATTTGAATTATTTGACTGGCTTTTTGTTTCATATAAATAAATACGTGTCAGTGTCCCAACTGTTTTATTTTTGTGCATATTTTGCGGCTTTCGTGAAGAGCTAATCAACGGCTTTTGTAAATAGTATTATTGCCTATCGTATAAGAACTAAAGCTATTGCCCATGTTCATTTACCCTAAGCAAAACAATAAATATTAGATTTATAATGATATAATGATATTTTATTAAAACAAAATATACATATATACCAGTTGTCAACTGTGTTTGGCAATATTGAAAAAAATCCTCGAATGGGTTTTCAATCTATATACACTCCTGCCCACAATTATACGACACCCCGAAAACTTTAGTTTCGACCCTCGTAGGAAAGTCGGGAAGCATATTACAACAAATTCAAGTATGCAGAATTAAAGCTTAATGAATTCTGCTTAAAATATGATTTTTTTATCTCTGATTGGACCTCCCGTTTTTAAATAGCGTTAAATAAAGCAGAAAAGCCCGATTTTTGCCATGCCTGAAACTGTATCATATCTATACGACACATGTCAATTTTTTCGATTTACTTAATATTTTATAATTATAATGGTATATAAAAAATTGTTTAATGATTAATAGAGCCACTTTAAGCCTTGGCAACCTCAAAAAGTCTCTTAGGCTTTGAATTAACAAACTTTTTAGGTAAATATTGGTATAATGGAAACTTTTGACCCAAAATTTCACTTTTAAGGGTCTTGACACTCTAAAATGTCTTGTTATTTGCTTAAACTCGCCTAACTTAAGTAAAGCAAATGTTTTAAATTAAATTCAAGCCAGGGGAGCACGGTGGACAACCCAAAACTCTTATATTGTGATTATTTATGAAGCGCTGGGTCTCTCTATCTTGGTGAATACTGCATAAAAACATGATATTTTTCCATATGTTGTTCCAAAAATGTTAGAAGACGATCATGAAATACTTTTTTGTATTCTCCACTATTCATCTTGGATCTGGGAAGCACAGATCAAGCACTTAAGACGCATGAAAGACTCCCCCGAAACATCGTTTTGAAAAAATAAGTTTAACCTCATGTAAATCTGTCCAATAGTGTCAAAACCAATCTGGGCCGTCAAGATAAACATTTTTTTCATCAGAAAAAATTATCTAGCTAAAAAATATTGAAAAAAAACTGTATAATCAAAAATAAGTTAAAATGTCATACTGAGGCCCAGTGTCTCCAAGATTTTTTCCTAAAAATTTAAGTTGTTCTGTTTTGTAGCTCATTTTTAAGAACGGAGCCGTCTTTAAGACTACTCTGACTATGTACTACGATGATTTCAGTGTCCGCCAGACAGTCATTCGTGACACAGGCTGACTGCAACTAGCGGCAAGTGTGGCGCTCCAAGCAATCGAATAGCTAAATCTAAGAATTATGCGACGTTCATGGCGGTCGGGAAACTTGGGATCCTTCCAGAGCTTTGCTTCACTCCATATTCATCCGAATTAAAAAAAAAAATTGGATAAAACAACGTGTTTGATCAATTTTCTGCGATATTTCGCTTACATTAAAGCCAGCATCGTTATATGCCCTTATTCTTCCCTTTTTTTCGTCGGATAACAAACATCCACTTGACATTTTATTTCCAAATCATTAAATTGTTACCAGAAACATAAAAAAAATTATTTGAAACCAAATAATTACCTCTAGCCGTTATAATTGAAACATGTCGTATAGATATGATACAGTTTCAGGCATGGCAAAAATCGGGCTTTTCTGCTTTATTTAACGCTATTTAAAAACGGGAGGTCCAATCAGAGATAAAAAAATCATATTTTAAGCAGAATTCATTAAGCTTTAATTCTGCATACTTGAATTTGTTGTAATATGCTTCCCGACTTTCCTACGAGGGTCGAAACTAAAGTTTTCAGGGTGTCGTATAATTGTGGGCAGGAGTGTATAATGTGAGGAGCATTAGCCCAAGAATCATCAGTCTTTTCCAACCAGTTGTGGTGATCCAACATTCAGTTTTCTGTATCAGTCACTATATATTATAGCCATGCGTAGCATTATTGTGTTTGCATTGTGGCTCTCTGCACTTTTAGCCCTGAGTGCCATCGTGACTGCTGAGGAATCCTGCATATGTCCTTTTATTTATACACCTGTTTGCGGATCGGATGGTGTAACCTACAGCAATGAGTGCATACTGAAGTGTGAGGCTGTTAAAAGAAGTAATCTCCGTGTAGCCTATAGCGGAGTGTGCTAAAATTTCAATGTGAGACCTCCATTTGCTGACTTGCTATTTTATGTACAGTATAAATGCATTTTAATTTGAAATATTGTTGTTTTATTTCTGGACATATTTTCTTACTACTTCCTTCTCCTGCTCAATTGATGGTTAGAATCAGTTTATCTTGAATGCTTATTTAAGACATTAAAATAGCAATGAATATAAAAATTGCATAGTAGTTAATTAATTTAAGTGTATATTGATTTAAAAATATTTTCTATAAACTGCGTTTTAGATTCTGGCTTATCTATAAATGATGCTCGGCCGGGTGTGTAAGCTTCAGTCTTGTCTAACCAGTTACAGCAATCGTACGATTAGTTTATTCGGACTTTAAAGCTATACAAGTACTTATATATTCACAGTCATGCGTTTATTCACTCTGATCGCCGTCTGCCTGTTTGCTCTTTTGGCCATGACCCAGGCGCAAATCTGTCCATGTCCTCGCAACTTCGATCCTGTCTGTGGTTCGGATAACTCAAACTACGCCAACGAATGTCAACTAAATTGTGAGTCAAGGCGCACAGGACGTGCCATCACGGTGGCCAAAAAGGGAGAGTGTTGAATGGACACATGAAATTCTAATTTGTTCTTACTGATTTATGTTTGATGAAATGTTAAAAATAAATACTAAGTTAACTGCACTTCAGTTGGAAAAATAGAGACATATTGCAATCAATTTGATCTGATTTTTAGATATTAAAAATTATAATAAAGCATGAAATTTAATTTTAAGCGATTGTGCAATTCAAAAACATTCTTAAGTTTGGTTTCCTGTTCAAATGCTATTGTGTCTTGATGCTTTGTTAAAAATTTAAATAAATAAATACGTGTACATTGTGAATCGTATTTGTTTAAGAGTGAGTGTATTTATTTCTGCGGCTTCTGTTATTGACCCAATTGTTAAACCGCTTTTCTTGTTGGCTTGGATTCTATTTGGACAAATGTTGGCACTGTGTTTCGTGACAATAAAAAAGTAATCATAAAATAAGTCAAGCCAGGGCTGAAATATAGCATAGGTTCGGTGCTAAAGAAGTTTTTATCGGTAGAATATTATGGAATAGTTAGGAAAAAATTAAGAATAATTCAAAACATATCCCCTTTCTTAAAAGTAGAGTTTTCCCAAAAGATGTTAGAAAAAGTTGAAGCTCATCTTTTAGCCAAGAAAGCATTCAAGATAGTGAAAACTTTGGCATGACTCACACAAGTGTAGCACGCTCTAAGCTATCTTTGACAGCCATAATATATAATATATATATTTGCAAATCACTTCACCACTCAAAGTCGCTTTGTCGTTTTTTCCAGTGCGATTTGTGTCCCCTTTTTTTGTGATTCGCAGTTACGATAAGATGTCGAAGTGCTATCAATTGCAATGCCAAATGCTCTGGCTGATAAGCTGGTTTATTTCTATTTATTTCAGCTCGATGATTAATACAGGGCCCATATATGTATTTAATTTGATTATTTATTTTTCCAATTTCAAGTTAGTTTTATTCCATTTTCCAGAGGTTTCTATGGTTAAGTTTTTAGAAGACTATCCAGGTTAGCAGGTGCCGGTTCTCAGGAGTCCCAAGCTGCGTCCCTGACGTGCTGCCGAGCGACTCTGGCAATCGAATTCGCAGCGGTTGGGATAGGTGATCCTGTTGGTTCCACACACGGGCTCGTAGTTCCGGGGACAGGGACAGAAGTCCTTTTTGTCCTCCGAGTTCGTCTTTTCAGTTAAATCGCCGCGAATTGGCGAGATGGCCAGGGCCAAAAAGAGGCACAGGGCCAACAGAATGCTTAGGAATTTCATAGTGTCGAGTTTAATCCACTTGCTATACTGACTCGGAACTGCCATTCAACTTTGTTTTTCAGCCAATAGAGCTTTGGTTCCCTTCGATTTGGCCTCTTATCTTATCTCCATAGTGTTGGGCTTTGGAGTTGAGTGTGAGTTTCTATACCCAGTACCCGTAATGGTAAGAGATATATTGTATTTTAATTTATTTTTAAATATATATTTTTTTTAACGAACAATCGTGGGTATTTTTATTTTATTCAAAAGTTAGAAAAGCAGTGTGGGAATATATTATTGGTCAGCATCAACAGACGAGTCAATTCTTTAATTATAATACATTTATTTTTGACTTAGTTATGATTGATTTTGATTAAGCCAATTGCAACTTGAAAAGGTATACATTTTTGGCTTCCCGAAGTTAAATTATTTTCTAGTTTATCTAGAAATGAAATACAGGGTGTGTCACTGTCGCTTATTTTTTTTTTATAATTTGTTTGACTTGCCGGAACGCATAGAACCTGCTTAATTAGCAAAGCGTAATTCCGAGAATTGGGATAGTTAAATAAATGCAATAGCAATTACTTGAATAATTTATGGGTGCCAGAGCACTTTCATTTAAATAATTTATTTACCTATAGCGAGAAACAACATGCGGGATTTTGTATAGTACCTAAAAGCTTCTCGCAAAAGCTATACTTTATCTATTCTTTGAGAGAGAGAGCTTTATGCTATTGTGTGCTCTTGCCCCTTGTTATCAGTGATCAGGTGGCGAGCGTAATTGAAGAAATTTCCCCGACATATACATGTAAACATGTTGGTGTGCCGTACACTCTCGTACATAAGTCTGCTTTTTTACGAGACCCAGTAATTAATGAAAAGCTAGACGTTTTGTGAAGTAATTCACACGGCGCTTGCTATTCAATTTCAATTGCCATTCAATTTCAATTAGCTTAGCGCAGCTCGGGCCCCCTGGGGAAATTTGACTAAGTTTTTAGATAGCCAGTTCTGGAGTATCAGCCGTCATGCGAGGTGTATTCCTTGGCCTCCTGCTTCTGCTCTTCGCCATAGTGGCAACGAGGGCCCTCAATTGCCAGCCATGCAAGCTACTGGAGGCCCGCAAGACGCATGCCAACGAAACCCACACACGGGAGGAAGAAAGGCGGGGGCGTCGTGCCAAATAATCAGCAGCTTGTTTGACTAATTAGCAAAACTTACACACACACACACAAGCATTTGTCTGTGCCTTGTGCTCATTCTAAAATACAAACGACTTTACCGAAACTCAGTCTCAGCCGAACACTCGACGCGAAACGACGACGACGGCGATAAGTTGCTTCATACAAAAATTTCATTCAATTAGAACTACAAAATGAAGAGCCTGGCTCTGGTTGTCCTCCTGGCTTTCCTGGTCACGCTCCTTACCGGATCCTCGGAGGCCAGCTACTGTCCCTGCGACCTCAAGACCAAAGCAACGGAGATCTGTGGAACCAATGGCGTTACCTACAAAAATCGCTGCGAGTTCGAGTGCACGCAGCGAGAGCACAAAAAACTTGGACGCATCCTGAGTATCCGCAAGGAGGGACAATGCTAATGCAATTTGGAAAATTATATAGCCAACAGTTATGCTTCCGCTTTAAAAGATATAACCCAAAATAGTGCTGTGAGATAACCCAGAAATAGATACATATACTCATCAAATTTAATGCGTATCCTATCAAAATCACAACAATTTATACCACAAATGTAACCTATTAATCGAAATAAATAATGTGAAATTATTATTGTGTAATGGAAACAATGAAGAAATTATTTATATTTAGGTTCTTGGTTTATTGCATTATAGGAGAACAGCACAATCTTCTATTTAAATAAAAACCATCTGACTTATTGCTTTTTTTTCCAAAGCGAGTATTGTTTATCTTGGCTCATAAATGAAGTCTGTTTAAAAGCATTTGTTGTTTGTCTTTGTGAGTTCTCAGAATATAAGAGTCAGCTTTGTTCAGGTTTATATATACAAGATGAAATCCCACAGTTCTAAGCATTGTTGCATAATTTTTAAGGTAATAGATAATCAGAATCTTTATTATACATTTTTGAACAAATATCTCCTTGCTGATTGTTTTGTTTTTCTCACCCAAAGTTCAAAGCCTATTTGTTTTTCTTAGTTTGCAAAATCTAGATTAGTTACTGCGTTTTAGCAAACAAAAATAAGTTCGACTTAGACTCTTATCTAGTAGAAAATCAGTTTCTCAACAACCTCAATTATATTATACAAACGTAAGTATGCAAATAACGCCATTCAATGCTAATTAAAAGCTCCGCCGAGTGCGTCATCACCTCAGTTAATCATTTCGGGGGACTGTCGCTTCCATTGACACTTGGGGCTGAGTGAATCGAAGTGGATTTTGGCCTCGTTTAAACAGTCGCCTCACGCACATCAATCAAATTTATGCATAATTAATCGTTCGCCCCGGACGTTTCGATTCGATTCCCCCGAGAACTGCCGATGGTTGATGGCAAGGAATGTGATTTATTAACTCGACGCAGTGACTTGGACTAATTGAATCTCAGGACGTGCGACACAAGGATCCAAGTGTCGGATGCATATAAACCAGAGCATAGCCCACTCCAAGCGACCAAGTAATAACAAGAGCCACTGCAAGGCTAATAAAGGTAATAGGCCACATTTATGAGGTGCGGTCGAGCGACTACCGTTCGTCGTTTTATTACCGGAAGCTGTCAGGTGCCTGGAATTTGGCTCGCCAGAATGTTATTAAAAAGATAATAATGAACGTTCAACGGGTTGAATCATGGCACTAAATGCGTTTTATCTCAGGAGTGGAGAAAACCAGAAGCTTCAAATGAATTATCCGTGAAACAAACAAGATAAGATGTGAGATGTGCTTACAGAGTATTTTCTTGAAAACGAAAATAGTAGAGAATTCCAGAAATGGGGTTAGGAAAATGTTCCCGATAGGGCTTAAACCCCTTTTTCCAGCAAAATATCACCAATTTGCGGCAAATGCGAGCTAATATCGAGCAAGTAGTATCAGTCATTACCTTGACTGACGGTTTATCTATCAGAGCCCCAATCCGATGATATTATAATATTCTGTCAAAAGAGGATTGCCCCGCCACCGCCCCTCCAGTAGTCATAACAATAAAGGCAAAATAGCAAAGGTCGGATGGATAAACGAAAAAAAAAACAAGCGAGTGTATATGGAAATTTACATGTGGAACCTACTTATGACAACGACGCCGACAATCTCTACAAATGCCAACAAACCTGGCGTTGTTGTAATCGATTTGTGATAACAAGTATTTGATAAGCGTAAACGTATTGACAACATCAAATAGAAGGCCCCAAAAAAAATAAGGCAAAAAATGAGGGAGAGCTCATGCTTGAGCCCGTCAAGGGTTGCACCGAAAGGGAAATGGAAAAGCGGCAGAGAGGAAAAGCGTAGCATATGTTTGGGCGCGTGTGCCAAATTCGTAAATATCTGGGATTAGTGGGAGCTCGATTTTTAATATGCCAAGCAGCCGAAAATTTCGTTGATATGATTAAATATTTACATAATACAAAATTTAGGCCGTGTATTTATTTATTCGTGCTCGGGGAGCCCAAAAAACCCGAGAGCCCAAAATTGAAAAGTGCTCCGAATACAAAAAATGAAAAAGAAAAACGTTGAATCCGCCCCTCTCAGGATATGTCCTGGCACAAAAGGCTTCTCGCAAAGGCAATTCAATCAGCGTCGCGACATGAAAGCTAAACCCCGTTGTCCTGCCAGCAGCCGCCGCCGCCGCCCCACAGACAGGTGAGACAGGTGAATGGTGAGCTGGCACAGTTTTGGCGGGACAGACGGCGTATTAGCCGACGCTTCCCCGTAAAACATTTCCGCCCGGTTCACATTTTCCCCAGGGGAGGTGCGGCCTGGAAATTACTGCAAATTTCCTTCGCTTTGATTCCGGGGCGCCAAAGGAATCCCAATGTGAGCAGTGAGCCACGCCCCGTGTCAAACCCTTTTCATGTCCCGGCTAAAAGCGGGAAAATTATGCCGAGTTTTGGCCTGTGTGATCAACATGAAGATTTCTGCACATATTTGTGCGCGTAAAATTTCCAATAAAGTCAGAGAACAGCCAGGAGCACTCTCAGGATTAACATTGGCAGCCCTTTTGTTGCTCGCTCGTGTCTTTTCAGGCTGGCAAAATGTTTAATTAAGCTGCCAGATTCAGTGCTGGTTGAAAGTTCCAAGGAGTTGGAAGGAAATCATGTTCCCAGTTTGGTTGTCATGGTCATGCCAAGGAAGTTCGCGGGTTGCAGGATAATAAATGGGATGGTTTTAAGGTGAGCTGGCTTGGTTAATGATTCTGGATGTGGTAACTGTCATTTGGGTACAAGATTTATATGACATTGTGTAATAGATACATTTACCAATAATAATAGTAATTTAAGGTGAATTTCCTTTTCCTAATTTTTGTCTAAACCGTTAAATTAAGCCAAGTAAGCATAATATTTTTATAATTTCTATTTTAAGATGCAGCATATCTTATTTTATTTATTCGTTATACCTAAGACTACTCCCATATCCCATGATAACCTTCATTGATCTCCACAATTGTTCAATCTAAAAATAAATAAGTTGAACAAAGTCTACTTCCGTTCTTCCTTCCCATTGATAATACATTTTAATTGTATCTGCTTCAAATTGAGTACATTTTCCACTGTTTGGCCAACTGGTCAGTACAAAACAAAATATTAAATGTAAATTGCTAAATGGGGGAGTAATTTCATTCAAACACTTTTCAAAGTGATGCGACAATTGCTCAAATAATTAAGCGAATCGCCAAAGCAAATAAACCAAACCGGAATTGAAAAGCCGGCAGAGGTATAAAAAGGGCACCACAGTTAATTGATAATAGAAAACTCGTTCGGCAGTTGAACGAGATGGGTATTATAAAAGTATTAACTGTAGTACTGAGTGTGGGTCTGGTCCTGGGCCACAATCACAATCAGCAAAAGGAGCAGGACGCGAAATACAATTGGTGGCAGCACGAGGTCTTCTATCAAATATACCCGAGGTCCTTTCAGGACAGCAATCAAGATGGAATAGGGGATCTGCGGGGCATCACATCCAGGCTGGAGTACTTCAAGGAGACTGGCATCACGGCCGTTTGGCTCAGTCCCATCTACGAGTCGCCCATGGTGGACTTTGGGTATGATATTTCCAACTATACGAACATTCAGCCGGAATATGGAACCCTTGAGGACTTTGATGCCCTGATAGCCCGCGCCAATGAACTGGGCGTCAAGGTTATCCTGGACTTTGTCCCGAATCACAGTTCGAATAAGCATCCCTGGTTCATCAAGTCAGTGGCCAGGGATCCGGAATACGAGAATTTCTACGTGTGGGAGGATGGCACTCTCCTGGCGAATGGCACTCGGGTTCCGCCCAACAATTGGTTGTCGGTTTTCTCCGGATCCGCCTGGGAATGGAACGACGAACGACAGCAGTACTATCTCCGGCAGTTTACCTACGGCCAGCCGGATCTTAACTACCGGAACCCGGCCGTCATCCAAGCCATGGACGATGTGATGCTCTTCTGGCTGAACAAGGGAATAGCCGGTTTCCGCATCGATGCCATTATCTATATCTACGAGGATGCTCAGTTGAGGGATGAGCCTCGCAGCGGAGCCACCGATGATCCCAATTTGGAGAACTATTTGGATCACATCTACACCAGGAATCAACCAGAGGACTACGGTCTCCTACAGCACTGGCGGCAGCTCCTGGACAACTACTCGGCCACTCACGATGGACCCCTTAGGATCATGATGACCGAGGGCTATGCCTCGGTGGCCCAGCTGATGGAATACTACGAGGATGCGAACGGAGTTCAGGGTCCTGAGTTTCCCTTCAACTTTGACTTTATCACCGAACTGAATGAGAACTCAACGGCTGCGGATTTCGTGTTCTACATCCAAAGGTGGCTCATCTATATGCCGCATGGTCATGTGGCCAATTGGGTGATGGGTAACCACGACAATCCTCGAGTGGCCTCGCGTTTCGGGCCAAAGACTGTGGATGCCATGAATATGCTGCTGATGACACTGCCGGGCATTGCAATTACCTATAATGTAAGTATATATTATATTTTCGATTATATTCTAATTTTTCTAATTCCAGGGTGAGGAGCTGGGCATGACGGACTACAGAGACATCAGCTGGAGCGACACTGTCGATCAGCCCGCCTGCGAAGCGGGACGGGATAACTACAAGTGGATTTCCAGAGATCCCGAGCGTACTCCCATGCAATGGAACGATGGACTCAATGCTGGGTTCTCCAATGCCAGCCACACCTGGCTGCCAATGAATCCCAACTACAGGGAGCTGAATCTACGCAATCAGCAGGTGGCCAGGCGGAGTCACTACAAGAATTATCAGTCTCTGCTGAAGCTCAGGCAGTTACCTGTCTTGAGGAATGGGTCCTTTGTCCCGGAGGTGGTAAATCGCAGGGTATTTGCTTTCAAGCGGTGAGTATGGGGAGTGTGACTGAGATAATAGGAGATTTTTAGCAGTAATTATAACTATTTTTCTGTCATGTAATTATCTAAAATTTACATTTTGCTGGCTAACTTTTACGTTTTACGTTTCATTATAATTCCCAGAGAGCTCAAGGGTGAACACTCTCTGCTAACCATCCTGAACGTGAAGAACGGCACCGAGGTGGTGGACATAGGCGACTTCATTGATCAACCCAACCGACTAAGTGTCCTGGTGACCGGAGCGGAGTCACAGTACCGAGTGGGAGATCGACTCAAGGCCGAGGCCATTGAACTGGCCCCCTATGAGGGCCTGGTCATCCAGCTGAACAAGCGAAAGTAATCAGCGACAACTATTTAGTATTCAGCATTAAAGCATGAGAAAGTTTTCCATTGGCCACACAACTTTTCTACTTTTCTTTTTGAAATGTATCTCGGGTGGGCAATCTAATTCGAGTTTCCATTTCATTTGCGAGGCAAAAAAACACATTTTCATTCCGTTTACATTACATTTTAATTGAATTGAGAGTACTTGCCGGCGGACCTTCTTCTTTTAACTCCCCCGTATTCTGGCACTTTCTCCGCGGCTAATTCCTCGACTTGAATTCAAAGTCGTAATTCATAATTGTCGTTCTTGTCTGGTTTTTTGGCCCCCCTTTTGTGATGAATGGCCAGCCGCAATTTAATTAAATTTGGTGTTTTTGGTGGCATAAATAAATGCGGTTGACTGAAGGCATTGTTTTGATTTTCAAGTTTACGATGCCAATTTAAAGTGTCTAAGAAGCAGATGAGCAAAGTTGAGAAGGTACTAAAATAATAATATAATTATTTTAAAAATATAATAATTTTAACTGAAAATTATGTTCATTGATTTTTCATTACTTAAAAATATTTAAAAATAAAATCACTAATATCAAAGCATTCTAAATTAGACATATACGCCGCCGCGCCACGCCGCCGCCGCCGCCGATTTTTGCCTTATTTGACGCGCCGCCGCCAAATTATGAAAATAACGGCGCGCCGCGGCGCGCCGCTGGTGCGGCATCGGCGCAGCTTCAGCGCGGCCTTCAGTGTCATTGTTCTTTATAAAACTTTAAAAAAAATAAATAACTCATTAAAATGGCCTTTTTGCCTTATTTGACGCGCCGCCGCCGCCGGTTCTTTCTGACTACTACGCCGCCGCCGCCGAGTCATTTTGACCTCTACGCCGCCGCCGATGCCTTTAACCATCGGCGTAAACCTCTAATTCTAATATGTATTAACAATATATGGGAATTATTTTTTTTCGTCACCTTCTCTTTTTGCACCTTTGTGGATCGAAAGCTTTATTCAACAGCTGATATCAATCGCCTGCACAAAAGCTTTTCACTCGATCGCCGGCAGCTGCTAAAAGCGCACAAAAAAGTGCCGAAAACAAACGTAAAGTTTACTTTTATTTACAAATCTTTGAGGAGAGCAGACTGATCATTTCGATCGGAGAGATCTATAAAAAGCCACTCGGCTGCCACCCATCAGGCGCTTTATTATAAAATCAAACAGTCAAGTGCAGTGTGCCGTAAAATTGGGAGAAACAATTTGTTTACTCATTTAATTCATCTCGCCATTTGTTATTGTGCAATTTATTGTTGATTCGAGCTGATAAAAATCTTCCCCACTCAATTATAGAATTAATACGACCGGTGTTAATTAAAAAAAAAGGCAAATGCAATAATAATTTTAATCATACGTTTGGCGTGGCTTTAAAAGTGACCGTCAAGCTGAAAAGAGTCGAACACATCGAAAATCTTGGCCGAAATGTACGCTCCTCCACTCATCCAAATCCTTCTTTTTAGTCTGCTGTATTCGGGATCCGCCATGTCTGGTTTGGTGAAAAGCGAAACGGAGGACTTTATCGACTGGTGGCAACACACCGTCTTTTACCAGATCTACCCAAGGTCCTTCAAGGACAGCAACGGCGATGGCATTGGGGATTTGCAGGGCATTACCTCAAAGCTGCCTTATCTGGCGGAAACGGGCATAACGGCCGCCTGGCTGAGCCCCATCTTCCAGTCGCCCATGGTGGATTTTGGCTATGACATATCGGACTACAAGCAGATCCAGCCGGAGTATGGCACAATGCAGGACTTTGAGGAGTTGATAGACACAGCGTACGGCTTAGGGATCAAAATCGTTTTGGACTTTGTGCCGAATCACAGCTCGGACCAGCACGAATGGTTCAAGAAGTCGGCAGCCAAGGAGCCGGGCTTCGAGGACTTTTATGTGTGGCAGGATGGCATCCTCCAGGAGAATGGCACCCGATTGCCGCCGAACAACTGGCAGTCCGTCTTCTACGGCTCTGCCTGGGAATGGCACGAGGCCCGACAGCAGTTCTATTTGCATCAGTTTACCAAGGAGCAGCCGGATTTGAATTTCCGCAATCCCAAGGTGGTCCAGGCTATGGACGACGTGATCCTCTTTTGGCTAAACAAAGGCGTAGCTGGCTTCCGCATCGATGCCGTCAATCATTTGTTCGAGGATGAGTCTCTAAGGGATGAGCCATTGAGTGGAAAGACCCAGGACCCGCTGTCCTACGACTACAGTAAACACATCTACACCAAGGATCTGCCCGAGGTCCTGGAAATGATTCAGCACTGGCGGCGACTGCTGGACGACTTCAGTTCCAAGCACCCGGAACGACCCACACGCATCATGATGACGGAGGCGTATGCGGGAATCTCCAAGCTGGCAGACTACTACGAGGACCACGATGGGGTAAGGGGCTCGCATCTGCCCTTCAACTTCCACTTCATTACGGACGTGAAAGGCGACGCGGATGCGCGTGACTTTGTCTACAACGTGGAGAAGTGGCTGATCTACATGCCGCGCGGGCATGCGGCCAACTGGGTCATGGGCAACCACGACAACCCCCGGGTGGCCTCCAGATTCGGTGCGTCCAGCGTGGATGCCATGAACATGCTGCTGCTCACCCTGCCCGGCGTGGCAGTCACATATAACGTGAGTTTCTGCACTTCTGTTACCGTCATGTGGTCTTTGGTCCATCGCTCTTGTGGTTCGTTTCAGGGCGAGGAGCTGGGCATGGAGGACTATCGCGACATCAGCTGGCAGGATACGGTGGACCCGCCGGCCAGAAATGTGGGAAAGAAGCTCTACAAGGAGGTCTCCCGGGATCCAGAGCGAACGCCATTCCAGTGGAGTAACGAGGTGAATGCGGGTGAGTTTCTAGGAACAATTTATGGTGCACTTAAAAATGCAAAAAGGAATGTTAATAATTCCCCTTCCTAAAGGCTTTTCGACTGCCCCCAAGACCTGGCTGCCCGTTCATCCGAACTACCCAGAACTAAACTTGGAGGCCCAGAAGGCGGCCAACAAAAGCCACTACAGTGTCTACAAGGACCTTATAGAGCTAAGACATTCGGCCATAATGCGACTGGGACGCTTCAACATCGAACCCATTTCACGTTCGGTTTTTGCCTTCAAGCGGTAGGTGACCAAACTAAAGTAGGGGAAACCAATCAACTTCTGGGAAATAACTTTGCAGCTCCTATCCCAACTTTGAAACGATAATTACCATTATCAATGTAAGTGACAGGGAACAGTTGGTGGATCTCTCAGAGTTCGTTAATCGTCCCAAGAAACTGGTTGTCGAAGTTTCCGGAGTGGATTCTAAATATGAAGAGGGGTAAGTTTCAAGGAATAGATTAAATTCCACTTTTCCATTTCCTGCTTTACACTGGCTGCTATATTATTTTGTATTATAAATTATTGCTTTTTAAAACACATATCAGTATCAAACATTTCATTTTATTCTCTCTGTGTATTCCCGCTGCAGTCAATCCCTGGCCGCAAGTGCATTTTCCCTGGCCGCCCGCGAAGGACTCGTCTGCAGGCTCGTCTAGCCGGAATGGGATTAGAGGAATTACCAGCTGATGGCGGCAAAAGTTTCCTCTTTAATTGCATTTCCAGTTCAAAATGTCACGCGATTGAATACAAAATGGGCGAAAATTAATGATTCTACAACGTGCCATGGCCTCTCTCTGTGTGTGTTGTGCGATTTTCAGATTGAATTTAACGCTGTCCCAGTGCTAATGAAGGACCGGAGAGTCTAGGGGACCGGGTCCGGTTCCGGCTTCTGACCGGAAAAAGTGGCCACATCGTCGCCTGTTCCTGGCAACTTGCCCGGAACTTTGTTTCAGTCTCTCTCTCCTCGTTGGCGCCTGTAATTTTTCATGTTTGGACGATGTAGAGCTTCCACATACAGAAAGCAGCAAACATAGAAAAAAGAGCAAAGATTTATGGAGCTGGGAAAGATTTTTCTTGCATTTTTTTGAAATGTCGCAACGCTGGGAATATGAAATCTTCTCCAGCCGAAAGTTTATAAATGACGTTTAATAACTGAATTAAATGTTTGTTAATGCCAACTATCGCAAAACTTTTGAGTATGCTCAATAACTTGTTGGAAACTTTTTGATTGCCGCCCGATGCTTGTAAAAACATTTTGCCAACAAATGACAGTTGTTTGGATAAGAAATTTAATAGTTTGTGATTGTAATAAGAGAGCAGGGTACTTTTTAGTATGATATATTTATTTTCCATGGAATTTGGAGATTTTGTTCTATAAGTTGGACATATTTTAGGTACTCTATTAAAAACTATTATTATGTACTATTATATTTTAATAATTTTTCAAATATTTAAGGGGATATATAAACTATTTTCTAAGACTCATCATTATATATGTCCCTCTTATACAGCTTTTAATATTTTTCCTAGCAAATTAAGAATTCCCCTGGAGACTTAACCCATTCACACAAGTTTAAACATTTCATTGCCAATACGCCACGTTGAACAAGGGGATTTGGGGCATGGGGGCTTTCATCGGCTAACGGTTATATATTGCTGTCTATATGCCCCGCTGCGTTTCATTTCGTTCGGAGAAGGTATCACCACCCCTCTCTCTCTCTTTCCGCAACAGCCAGCCATTGGTGTTGAGTGCGGTATTAAATATAAACTATCTGAATAATTTAGCGACAGGATTCCGGTCGACGAGGCCTCCAAACTTAATCTGCCCCCCGGAGGCGGAATTGTGTTAAGTGAGCGCAGTTCGGCGGTAATGAGGTGAGTTCCGGCCTGGCTGTTTTAGACAAGTCTCGGTTGGCTCAATCATTAAGTTTATATTCCCGCTACTTTCAGCCAACAGCGACGCAACCTGGTTAAGCAGCTCATCCAGTCGGCCAATGTGGTGCTGGTGGGTCTGCTGGTCTACAACTTGTGGCGTCACAAATGGACCAAAGTGAATTTCAATCAGCATCAGTTTTGATTGATTTTCCCCTCTTCTCTACTATGTGTGTGTACTCGCGCTGATTGATTGATTGATTAATTAATTAATAAAACGAACATCGGCTTAAATGTCATTAACAGTTGGCGGCGACTAACGACTCCTGAACTGAACTGAATGTGGCCAATGGGATTTGCAAATTTAATTTCCTCCACCAGCGAATCTGTCAAGAGGCGGGAAAAGAAAAAAAGGTGTGGAGGCGGCGGTGATAGATGAGTTTTTCTTTGGCGGAAAATGGATTTCCAAGTGGTTTCACAGCTTCCGTTGAAGTGCTGTAATGTTAATATTTATTAACAGTTTTTATAATTGGAATTTCAATTGAATGTAGTGCTTGGCAGGGAATTGTATGAATATAATATTTATAATATTGATCTGTAAGCTTTAAATTAACCGATTTAAATTATTATTTGTTCTGTCATCTTAGCTACACTTATCCTTTAATTAGGACACTATTTAAACAGGCAAAGCATTCCCCCAAATAAATACCATTTTCCCCTCTTTCAATGTCTGCAAAAACACTCATCTGTTCTGCTTAACGTTTTACACTCTGTGCGTTGGCAAATAAATGTAAGTGTTATCCTGCCAATGGAAACTGCATCCGTCTATATTAGTTTACAAATCCCAGCCAGGATCCGGAAAAGCTGCACTCGAACGCTAACAAACTTGATAAGTTATCCACGCCTCACAGTATTTCAAGTGCGGGGCAAGGGCTTTGGCAGTGAATGGAAAAGTGGAAAGTGTCAACAATCGTTCTTATTCAATTTGTTGCCGCTTTCGAATAGTTTCGCGATTTCCAAGGACTGCCGCAGTTGGCAGCTTTCGTTGCGAGTTTAACGCATTGATGCTTCGGAACAGGAGGCATCCTCCGGAGCAGACTAGTTGGGCCAATGACTGTTCAGTTGTTGGCAAGGGAAATAGAGACAAAAACATGAGCAGAAGGAGCAGCAGCAACAACATCACAGCCAGTTACCGGATATGCCAATAAAATTACAGCCAAGTGCCTGCAAATTAACCAGAGCGCAAAACGGCAAGGACAGCAAGGACTGCCGAGAGTGAACGATTGACTTGGAAATAGGAGCTTAGATCAACCAGGAAATGTGTTCTGAAATACACAATGTTCGTATCTAAATTCAATTTTAACTTAAGTCTTGTAAAAAGTATATAAATAATATCCTTCACTATTTTATTAAATATCATGCTAAGGGTCCTGCATTCCGCATATAATCTGTACTTAATTTCTACTTGATGCTCTCGAAATAGCAAATTATTCTTTGAAATATTAAACTCACAGCCTGAAACTTCAATCAAAACGCACAAGCAAAAAGCTCTGAAAGATTTTTTAGCAACTGTAATTTGCAACTTGCTTGTGGAGTGCTTAAAAAATTTAAATTACATTTAAGTTTACTTAGTGAAACATTTGCTCTAAACTTCAGACGCAGCGACGTCTTGCTGCAAGGGGACTCGAAAATTCGAGAGAAATTGAGTTGCAAATTATGGCAAGAACACCTCAACGAATTGCCAGGACAACGACGTCGCGTCGTCGCGCTGTCTGGCTTCTGTTGTCTGACATTTGAGCGGCGGGTGCAAACAAGGACTACAAGCGAGTGTGTTTGTGTATGTGTGTGTGCTTAAGCCTTTGTGCTAGTTAGCTAAATTGTAGCAAACATTTTCGAAAATCTCTGACAGGAGGCGGTGCACCTTTGTGCGCCAAAAGTGGCATCCTTGCGGGCATCCTTTTTCGCCAGATTTTCAGCCAGCCTTTTGGCGCGTGTGTTTCTGCTGTTGGCAGCCGCCATTTTGAACTTTTTCTTTTATTTTATGTATTTTTAATACTCTGTATTTGTGGAATAGAAAGGGTATTTTGAGTGGAATATATGAATATAATAGTATTTTTTAAGGAAAATTTAATTAAGATACTTTTTATATAATTCTTGGAAAGATGGAATAAAGCAATACAATTTTTAATGTTTTAAAGATATTTTCTCCCTCTAATTTTTTGTAGTGTTTTTAGTACAAGGTATCTCAAAGTCGAGTCCCTCTTTTACTCTCTTTCTTTCCCTTTTTTTTGGACCTCCAGCTACATAAATTTTGCAGACAGTCGTTGGCGCCAGTTTTAACTGTTTTTAATTAAAAAAATCTCCAACGTTCCGGCCATTGGTAATCAGTTTTATGTCTGAATGTGTGTGTGTGTGTGCCTGTCCTTGTGTGCTTTCCGAAGGGTTTAACGAAAATTGATTTTAAGCCTTTCTTTCTTTCTTTTATTATTATGGCTGTCGCTGACACTTGAAAGAAAAAGTTGGCCCGCAGAGACTAAGGCAAATTGATTGCCAATTGAGAGGCCATTGCCATAAAAGAAAACACGGTGGGGGACAAAGGGAGAAAGGACAAAAAGGGAGTAAAGATGCATATATTATCCTTTAAAGTATGGCAAGGATAACCCCAATGGAGCCCACCCACATGGCAATAAAACTTTATGTTCGTATGTGTGTCTCTGCCTTCGCCTGAGTCGTAGCTGCCTTTGTCGCATTCCTTAGCATTCGGAGAATTTTTCGGAGCGTTTTGTGTTTGAGCGGAATTTATGCAAATTTGATTAAATTTCCTTGTCGCTTTCGGCCAGAAAGGCTGAAGTACAAAGCCCTGGGCAGGTCAAGGCATCTGAGCAATGCGCTCGTTTATTGCCGCGCCTGAGACTATGCCACGGATTGTAGTAGTTCACGATTGGAAGACTGCCGGGAAGTTGCCAGAGTTAGGCGTTAATATTTTTTAAATTATTGAAAAAGTTTCCATTGTTCAACTCCCAGCGGGTGAGCCAGTCCCTTTTTAATTAAATAACTTTTTTTATGGCTTTTAGTGTTAAAAATTATATGGTAACAATGAAAAGAAAGTGGGGAGAAAGAAGGGATGTTCTGTTTTTTATTTTTCCTGACAGCCCTAACCTTGGTTATTTATCGATACCACAAAGCTTTCTATAATCGATCTTCGTTAATGACTCCCTTTTCTGCTATCCTTATTCTTATTTGATTTAATTACTTAAAACTCCTTTCACAAAATTAGCCAAGGCCCAAACGAAAACCCATTGAACCACAAACTAAATGAGCCACTTAACCCTTTCGCTTTTTCTTTTTTGGAGGGAGAAAAAGGAAATGGGAAATGGGAAAAGCGAAAGCGAAGGGTGTGGAAAAAGCTGCTGCTGCTACTGTCTGGCGGTACATCAATTAGTCTCCAGCCTATGGGTCGATGCTGTCGATGCGTCCAACTTGTCGGACAAACGCTTGAGCAGCCAAGCGCTGCTTTCAGCCAGACAAAAACAAGACAGGACTTCATTCCCGCCCATCCATCCACAGGACAAGAAACCCTCCACCCATTCATCTATCCATCCAGCCATTCCTTTCACAGAAAGGAGGCAAAACAAATCGAGGGTCATAACCAGTAAAGGGGAGAAAGACACAACAGCCGCGACAGGGCCAACAACAAGTGTAATATGTCAATTGAAGGACACTTCCCTCCGAACACTCGCTCACACAAACACACACTTGCTAACACTCGAGTATTTATTGCAACGCTGTCTGCGCTGTCGCCGCAGGATATGCTACGGGTATTTGCAAAATATTGCAGCGCCCATAAATTGAAAGCCAAAAGGACAGGCGGCGTCCGCCAAGCGACTTGGCCAAAAAGGCACTGAGGGGTTACCAATCGGAGGCGTGGTTTTTGGGGCCGTGGGCTCAAACAAGACTTGGCCCGGCTTTGTCTCAAAATCGCCGCACGATTTGTGGCCGCTACGTGACCGGACAAACGAGCCACCCCAGGACATGCCAGGACATTCAAGAGGGGAACTCGGACTCGGACTAGGGTCGGATTGGGGGCACAGACCTGACCTTGGGCCCAAAGAATTGGCAAAATGTTTAATTCCAGCCTGGGAACTATTTCGGAAAAGGATGAAAATTAATGTCATGATGAGATTTAAGGATAGGCAGGGTTCTTAAAAATTTTAAAAAGCCTTTCTATATTTTATGTTGGAAAGGGTTAAATATATGTATCAGAAAGTTATAATTTATTTATAAATCCATCTGTTTTAGCAACCTTGAACTACCATAATACAAACCAATCTCTCTGAATGCACCATGCCCATTTCCCATTTGGGCCACTCAAGAGAGACGCCTGAATGAAATCCGAAATTGCATGCGTGTTTCACCGAATATCTAATGCACTCCATCACGGTGGCTGCCAAATTCATTTCCTTCGAAATCCAATTCATGAATTTTAATCTCAAATGGACACAGGGGCTCTGCCTTTACTTACACTGTGGTCCCGGTCAGTTTATTAGCCAAAAACACA